AATAAAATTACATAGTGCCTGGTATGCAGAAAATGCTTAATAAATGCTCGCTGGTATTAATTCACTTTGGTGAGTCAGAAGCATGAAGGCCTGGCATTCAGCCAACCCTCAGATACCTGATCGTATCTGTGTCCCTGCATTTATCAGGCTTGAAGGTGCTGGGTGCTGACTCACTTACAACACTCATAAGTGTTTAAAGCCAGAGTGGTGACTTAGTAATTTACAATGAGAAATGTAACTGTCAGACAGACCAGACACCCTGACCAGGTTATTCTCTCCCTGAAGGCAATGAACATGTGGCATTGTGAGGTTGATTGCTGAGCATAAAATTAGGAGAAACAGAATTAGTTATACAATTCAAATGTTTAATGGCATTGGGCCTGCTGTATTCATCTCCACAATTGAGCTTCTCTTACCCAGTAGGTGAGATGCTCAGGCTAGAAACATGACAGATAACCTCTTCCCCTGCACAGTGCTGGGATATACATTACCTATTGCTGGCAAAATTCACCAAGATGTGAAAAATGTGGGAAAGTCTTGAGGGTGAACTCAAAACATTCATGGCATCAGTAAATGTATTCTGAACAGAGGCCCTATACATCTGGCCTAATTTTGGAAAAGTTATAAAAAAGGGAAATACTTTATCAAGACCCATTCTTTTAATAAAAGCCCCAGTATAAATGGAGCATCAATAAACCTGATTATATATTTGTTTAAAATATTTATTGGATTATAAGTTAAATACATTTTAAAATTTAAAATGGAAATATTTTCATTGTTTCATATAGAGCTATAATACAGAACATTAATAACAAAAATAACATAAAATGCTTTAAATTGAGCAAACAGAAAAATATAAATATATGCACATTGTATATACTTATATACATACATGTATGTATGTATATAGCAACTATATATATATATCAAAAGTTTCTATTCATATCCACAGAACATGAATTTTACTGATTTAACTCTCAGAAAGTAAGAAACATGTTTTCCTAATTTCCAATTATTTTGGAGAGGGGATACTGCTCGATGTGGCTCACTATTGGTCTCATGTAGAAACAACAAGGTGATTAAATTATAACTAATTTAAAATAAATGCGTTTTGAGAAATTTGAAATGCCCTTTGAAATTATACCATCTCTAGAATAAACCTTTAAAAAAATCACATGTGAGAGGTATGTAACCGATCCCATAAAATCATCTTTGAGCTGGTAGAAAAGCAAGCTGCAAGTTAGCTCTGTGATTGGCGAACAAATATGAATAGAGACAAATGGGCTGATGTGTAGCTTCTGTATTAATTCACTTCTATTTGTGTAAGAGATTAAAATAAATTCCAGTACAGCATTTTTTCTCATTTCCTCATCCTTTGTCCTATGAGCAGAAAAAGTAATTAAGTTTGGCAAAAGAAAAATGTAATACTGTCATCAATTACAATAGCAAATATCACAGATAAACTTCACAGGCAATGATGTATGTAATGACTTTGACTCATCCAGTACCATTAAGTCTCAAAATGTCAGATCTAGGTGGTTTGCAAAGTATCGTTTGTAGACCGGCAGCATCAACATCAGCTGGGAACTTTTAAGAAATGCAAATTCTTGGACTCTACCCAAAACCTATGGAATCAGAAATTCTGGGGCTGGATCACACCAATTTGCTTTGAATAATTTCTCCAGGTATTCTAATGCCTGCTAAAGTTCTGTCTGGTCTAGACAGAATCATGCTGCTTAAGGTATAATCTGTGAACCAGCAACATTGGAATCACTAGGAACTTGTTATAATTGCAGAATCTCAGACCCTACTTAGACTTAACTGAATCAGAATCTGAATTTTAACAAGGTCTCCAGGTGACTTGAGTGTACATTAAAGTTTGAGAAATGCCATACTTGTCCAATGGATTATGTTATGGTCTGAATTCATATATTGAAGTCCTAACCCTGAAGACCTCAAAATATGACCATATTTGGAAACAAGGCCTTTAAAGAGGTATTTAAAATTAAAATGAGATCTTTCAACTGGGCCCTAAACCAATATAACTATTGTCCTTATAAGAATAGGATATTAGGACACAGGCATGATCAGAGGAAAGACCATGGGATATGAAGGCACAGAGAGAAGATGGTCATGTGAAAGCCTAGGAGGGAGGCCTCAGAAAAAACAACCCTACTGACACCTTGATATTAGACTTCCAGCCTCCAGAACTGTGAGAAGATAAATATCTGTTGTTTAAGTCACCCAGTTTGTGGTACTTTTGTATGGCAGCCCTAGCAAATTCATAGTTTCCAAACTCAGTTGCATGTTGAGAGTTTTAAAAATATTGATACCTGGGTTCTATTCCCAGAGGTTCCAATTTAAGTCTGAGAATCAGCACATAAATCTGGATTTTAAAAAGCTCTCCAGGTGATTTTTAATGTGGAACAAAGTTTAAAAACCACAAATAATTTACTCCATTCTTTTGGCTGGTAAGAAATCTAAGACAATTGCAATTCTTAAATTTCAATCTCTTGATACTTATCTCCCATCATTATGTCTGAAAACCTGGCTCATTCTTGTAAAAATTTGAGGGCTCCTACCAGGAAAAAGATATTCAAGAATCAAAGCTGGAAATATTATACACTCATTTCTTTTCATGCACCAACTTTTTAAGTTGTGTGTGTGTGTGCACGCGCGTGTGCGAGCACGCACACCAAGGACTCTTTTAAACATTTTTGTGGTAGTGCATCTTCCACAGTACAGGTATAGAGAAGGCTCCCAAAGGAAATCTGTTGATCTAAGTTGTCAGTACCATTACCTCTCCCTAGTTTCTTCTTGTCCCTCTTGTTAAGTTGTCCTGAAGCCTCCTAGAATCCAAATTAAAGACTCTCCAATCCTATAAACCAGCATTTCAGGGCATAGGTGCCAAACCACTAAGCAGTTTTCTCTTGCTAAACCTTTTCTCATGTTCCTGTGAAGTTTTGAAGCTCCCAAACTCAACAGTCCATCAGAAGATAACCATTTACTGAATGTTTACTCTGTTCACGAAACTTGAGACTGTGATTCACACTTCATATAATGGAAACCATAATATATATATATATACTAGCTCTAGTCTCTAAAAGTTAACACTCTCTACAAAATTGATTATTTGGCACTCTTAAAATACCATACACCTTAGTATGGCTCTGCTCTAAATGTGCTTTTACTACTCAAATAGACCTATTTTCATGATAGTCTAATAGATTTTCTTCTGGTGAGCTCCCCAAAGTCATCCTCAGCACCCTTTTCACAGGCTGCTTTTCCATTATAGAAGCTGAAAATCCTGATACATTCCCAGCCTCCCTTGCCACTAAAAGCAGCTATGTGCCACAGATCTTGCCAATGAGATAAAAGGGAAATTCTGTTAGTGAACTTCTAACAGATACTTCTAAGAAGATACTTCTTCTCTGATGAAAAAACAAAAAGTTGCGCAAGGAAAAATTTTCTGCCCCTTTCTACCTCCTGTTTCCTGTCTTTGAACGTGGGGCAAAGAACTAGAGCAAAGAACAGTCTAGAACTGTTAGACCCATCTTGAAACCACGAAGGTAAGGCATTGACCAGAACTCTGACATTATTGGGCCACTGAACCGACTCCAGTAATCACCTGCTCTCAGATTTGCCTATTTGTTAAATACACTTTCAGTTGGCTTATCTGTTACTTTCAGCAAAAAATTAAAAAATAAAAATCCATAATTGATATATAGATTTTCTTGGTATATGGAAAACTCTCATTTATTTTAGAACATAGTGTAGTCTAAGGAGTCACACTTTGAGTACCATTGAATTTAAAGGATTATCTTCTAGGAGTAAAGAAAAAGCATGCCCAGGTGATGTTCAAAGACTGGTAAACCCAATCTGGACTGCCAAATTCGTTCATTCATTCATTCATTCATTCTTTCTTTCAGTAAACCTCTACTTTACTAAGTTCCAGAAATAGAAAGATCAATAAGATATTACCCCTGCCTTCAAAGACATTTATTACCTTAAGCAAGACTGATGTGTGCACCAAGAGTCATAAGGTGGTAAGAGCTAAGATAGAGGTATGTAGAGGAAAAGAGTTGTGCTGTCAGAGAGGTGGGAAGCCTAACTCAATTTGGAGAGTTCTCCAGAGAGGACATTGGAAAAGGATCGTGGAAGCTTCCACTTAACTCTAAAAACTTATCCCTGTGAACCAGACTAAATATCTAAGGCTTTATTAGTTTTCTTCCAAGCGAGGGGGGGGGTGGGTTCTTTTATATAATCACAAACTGTAAACTAAATGACAATTCAGAAAAGATCGGAGACTAATCAACAGCCAGGAAAGATTCTCCCACCCCTCTTTCTCTCTCCTGCAAAGCAAGATAAAGACATGGTTTGGTGGGAGGGATACTTTTTCCTCCCATATCATCAGGAATGTTTTCTAAAACAGAATACTTCTGTGTTGTGAATTAAGACCACCTGTTAACATTGCATCAAACCAATTTGATGATAAGCAATCAATTGTCAAGCCACAAATGCATGAATTCCAGGAGATTCTCTCCTCTGCTACTTTTAAGCAAAAATGACAGCAATAATTAGTACCTAGTTAATAGTTACAGAAACACTTTGCTTCATGATAGAGAAAGGGAGAACCTCCCCCTGGCATTGATTTTTCTAAAAGCAGTTAATAAAAGCAACCCCCCCACACACACCTTAGAGAAAAACTAACATGTAGCTTTGCATTGTTAAATCCTTATAAGAAACAGAATAGGTCCTCACTGATTTTCTTGCAAAGGAAATAATAGGTTTTGAAGCATATCTGAAAATAGAGAAAATAAGACCAGCAGCAGTCTCTTAAAAAATTCCTGTAATACAATACATTAGAAATAAAATATTCAATAGAGTCCTTTAGCAAACTGTTTCAATATTATCTATCGTGGCATTCACATTAATTGTGCCTCCGGAACATTTTGATTCAGTCAATAGTGATGAGATAGATATGCAACAACTGCTGTTACCTTACAGCTCTGGCATGTCCTGAGCTAGAGAGGGTTGTTCCAAGATCCCAACTCAGGCTACAGTAAATCATCTGCCAGCTCGCCGAGAATGAAGCCGCCCTAGCAAAGGATCCCAGCTCAGCCCTCTTGCTCTCCTGTCCCCACCTCTAAGAATCACCCAGGAAGAAAGTGGGGGAGGAGGGAAATGCACGAAACAAATGAAACATTTCTAGCCCCATAAACGCCGCATCGGGACACTTGAAGGTACCCGGGAAATTAAGAATATGGCCCCAGAGTTTGGTTTGTCTGGGGTCTGAGCATGGATTTGATATTCTCTGTTGCGTTTGTAAAATCCAACTTTCTGTCTCCAATGGAGAGAACCAGAGGGAGGAAGCAAAGGCAGAGACACAGACTGGAAGACCCCCTCCCCCCAAATCACCCAAACAGTAGGCATCAAAAGACGAGAAACTTACCTGGCCCTCACCTAGACGGAAAGGCAGCAGATCCAGACTCCGGAGGGGATCAGGCTGCTGGGGTGAGTCGCTGAAGCTGGAGCTGAAATGCAGACCCCAGGCGGGAGGCGAAGTCCCGCTACTAACCCAAGGGAGCCGAGTGACTCACGCGCTCAGCGCCCGCCGCCTCTCGGCGCTTTGCGCCCCTCTCCCTCCCCGCCCCCAGCAAGTACCAGGACCCAGCGCTGGGAGGCGGTCTCCAGGCGCCCCTATCCACGGGGTTCACCGCTGGACGCCCCCAGGCGGCAGCACCAGAGCCGCGCCAAGCACAGCCCGCCCCTCAAGATAACCGCCGGTCGCCACAGGACAACCGATCTGTGGTGGATCTCCCTCTCCTCACTTACCCACCCACACTTCCTCCCCGCCCCCCCCCGCCCCCCGCCAGCCTAGGACCCGCTGCCCCTGGGCTGTCCATCTGAGCTCAACATACCTTCCACATGCCATCTGGACCCAGAATTGCCAGGGCCATCCCTCAGGCTGAGGCAAGCCATCTCCAAGATGCACAATCAGCCCCAGGACATACAACCAGCTCTGTACAGCCCTCCACCCCTGCCACCTTTGGTCTCTACCCTGCAGTGGCACCAGAACCCACCCAGCTCAGGACAGGAGCAACTGGCTCTTCAGGATCCCAGGTGTAACCTTTTCCATAGGTCTTCCCTCTCCCTAGACCCTACCTCGCAAGAACCTGCACCCAATAGCCCCTTGTCCATCTGACACACTTTCCACCTGCCTGCTGGATGTGGGGATGCCCAGACCCTTCCACAGTTGATGCCTATACCCGGATCACCCCAACTGCCCACCACAGCCAAGGTACAAGTTACTCCCACCTCCTAGGAGTCCCTTTCCATGCGGAGGAGGCTGCAAGCCCCTCCTTTCTCAGATCCCCTCAGGGTCCTGGAAAAGTAGTGTGGGGAATGATGGGACCGTGGTGCCATGGGGCACCCTCCTAGTCTGACTCAGAGTAGGAAGAGCTCTACTCAAGCTGGCTTTGGTGGTGATGCTTCTCTGAGACATTCAAGGCGCTGTAGGGTGCCAAGACTTATAGAAGAGGGAATACCTCCAGCAAGCATGGCTTGGAAATTCTGCCTTGGACCTGGCATTTTCTGGTAACGGTCATCTTGTTCTGCTACAGGGGAAGGGGAGGGTGATAAGTCCACATTCCTGCCTCTATTATATTAAATACTGTGAGGAATAGCATGTGGAATGAGAGTCTCTTTAGCCTTGATAAGGGTGAGGGATTACTGAGTTCAGAGAGAAAGAAATAAGAAGAGGGAGGGGGTGGAGGGACTATTTACCCAACTTGAGAACAGTATTTCAGCTGCCATACTTTCTACAACTCTAGTAAAGGAGGGAAGGTTTGGCCTATTCCAAAAAGTGGGCAATATCCCCCCAACACGCACCTCTCCTCATCATTTCGTTGCTTTCTTACCACCATTGTAAACCTAGATTTCTCCATCAATAGAACTCATAGGGACTATGAGTTGTCATTTCAATGTCCCAATAACCCAGCACACAGCCTGACACACAGTGGAAAATAAAACTTTATTGAAAGCTCAAAAGTCTACTATCCAGGACCTTACTACCCTGGCCTCTGGCTCCCACCTGTATACTTTTCATCTCTTTCCCTTTGCTTTTCTTCCTTATCTATACCTACCTCCTTGAATAATACCGGACTTCAATTTCTCTACCTATACTCTCTAATTCTATAAGGTGGTGTTTCTTTCCAACCTTATTTGTTCCCTTTTTCCCAAAGTCTCCCCTACTTTGCATTCTTTCTTGTTGCCCTATTTCCAAGTTTAATCTCAATGAAGTGCTCTGCCACTTTTTTTGTTTTTGTTTTAAGCATGGATCAAAATTCTTACCTATCAAAAATCCTGTATTCCCCTTGGGATGTGTGTATGTGTGTGTTTGTGTATGTATATGTGTGTGTGTGTATCCAAACCAATGTGTCCTCTCATGCAAAGTGATCAACTATATGTATTACCAGAATCATATCTTCATTCATTCAACTCACCTTTACTGTACATTTACTGAATGCTAGGCATTGGATTAGGTCCTGGGTTTACAGAGATGAATAAAACAATGTCACTATCTCAAGAATACCACAGACCAAAGGGTGAAGGAAGGAGAAGAACAAACAGCAAAACAAGGTATACAATAATGTTGTAAGAGGGAAATGTACAAGGTGCTGTGAGAATAAGAAGGTAGCTCACACTCCTTCACAAAGGAGGTGGAGGGTGATCATGAAACATTTCACCAGAATATGACAATTGAACTGAGTCTTGGAGAACAACTAGGAGCTTTCCAGAAAGACAAGAATGGGAGAAATATGCAGATGAATTATTTACTTTGAATTTGTGTCTCCTTTCCCTTGTGATGGTATTATTTTTTAAGGCAGATAGTGTCTAAGCTCCATAGTCAAGAGAGTTGTTCCTGGTAGCTCCAGGGATAATTCTGATTGGTTCTTCCTGGATCATGTGTCCATATCTAAAACAATTACCATGACCAGGTAGGTAATGTATTCTGATTGGCTAGCTAGGGTCATGTGCCCCTTGCCCCTGTGTTTTTCATGGAGGAAGGGGCATGTATGTCCGATGGGAAAGGTACAGTTCCTAAAGGTTAAGATACCAGGAAAGAGCAGAACAAAAATAGCATGTGGATTACATGTACACGGGCATTCCTGATAAAAATGATATACCCAACCCTGAAAAATCTCTCATTTTGAAAAATCACACACTAAAACAAACAAGATTTACAGAAAAAATAGAGTTGGGGTGGATCGCCCAAAATTTATGCAAATTTATAAGCAGAGCATTAACAAAATAAAAATATTAATACATCAGGTGATGATTTGGACAGCCCAGACACACAGGTTGGTATGGCTAGAGGCCACCTTAGTGGATATTAAAAATACAAGACACCAATACAGAGGAAATTCAGGCGTGAGAGAGCTGAGACAATGCAGTTGGAACTGGAACTCTAAACTGCAAGGTTGCCGTTAAGGTGGGCACAGGAAGAAGTGCAATCTGCCTGAGGCAAAAACCATGCAAGGCTGTAGAAACTCACTTTTAATTTTCTTAATATAAAGCTAAAATGGCTCCTGACTATGCAGCAGCCAAGTCCAAGGAGGACTTTTTCCTTTCATGCTGAAGGTTAAAATTCTACTCTGACACAGCTTTCAAAGTATATTGACGTGGTTCGTTATTTGCAATTGTGTATAAGCTGTTTGTTATAGAAAATGTGTTATAACAGAAGAGATTGTGTATATTTATTTATTACCTATCAAATATTTATCAAACACTTGTAATCTAATTCAGTGCCATGTTTTAAAATTCCAATTATTTGCAAATGACTCCCAAATTTGTCTATCTTGTCTGGATATTTCCCCTGAAATCCAGACACTTATCCAGCAACTGTTCAACATCCTCACATGAATGACTAATAGGAATCTCAAAATTACTTTATCAAAACCCAACTCTTTTTTTTTCTGGACGTTTCATATAAATCGAATCATACAATATGTGGGCCTTGGTGTTTGGCTTCTCTTACTGAGTGTTTTCAAGGTCATCCATAGTGTAGAATGCATCATAACTTCATTCTTTTTTATGGCTAAATAATACTGGCCTACTTCTTAGAGAAGAACTTCAATCTGGTGGTAGAGGAGAGACAGAAAGGCTCCCTGAGAAAAGGTGTGGAGTGCAGGCTTGATAGAGGTTGTGTGTTTTCCCCTTAGAGAGCTGTCCCTCGCATGCCCACTGTGAATCCTGTGCTTGTCATACATCTTGTGAAAGCCCCTGGCGCAGCTGCGGGCTTGTCTATTGGTTGGGCTGTGTCTGCAGTCCTGGCTTTTTGTTTGGTGACAGCTGCTGCATCAATGCCTCTTCCTGCAATTGCTTCCACAATAACAACCACTGCAAGTTAAGACCACTGGGAAGCCCAGATTCCCTGAAGGATATTGATGGCAAAGCAGCTGGGTTTCAGCTCCACCTGTTTCCCAGGTAAGGTGAACTTTGATCCACCGGATATCCCCAAGGGGTCAGCTCAAAGCAGTGGTTACACAATAGTGGAATCATTCATTCAATATGTGGTTTTTGATGGTCTTCTTTGTTCATACAGTAAATCTTTATGAAACACCCACTTTGGCCTGCTGGGATGCTAGCCTGTGGAGTCAACCATCCCATGGTCCTGTGCTAAGTGCTCTTTCCAGCCTCAATATTTCTATCATTCTCTTTTTCCAGAAGAACTTGCAAATCCTGATAGATCAAAAAGAGAGCAGTTGCTGTCCTAGCCTCTTCTAATTGATGGTCTCTGGGGAGATTCTACAGAGTAGAAGCTCTGAAGGAGCATAGGTTCTGGACCAGTGCTGTCTAACAGGGATAGCATAGGAGCCACATGTCATGTTACATTTCTTTCTAAAGGCACTTTCCTGGGTCCAAATGGACAATTTGTGGAGCTACAGATGGGGTTTGGTTTGTGGAGGAGATGCGATGATGACCAGTCCAGGTGAAGGGTGTCCCAGCTAGGCAGCTGCCACTTCTTTCTATTTGCCCTATCCTCTTTCCTTGCCATTCCAGGCACCACTACTTGATCATTTATGTACCTCCCAGTGGGTAGGAAGCTCCTAGCAAGTGGCAGGTCTCCCTTTCCCAATTCTATTTTTTTCTATATATATTAGTTGGCCAATTAATTTATTTCTATTTATAGTAGAGACAGGGGCTCACTCTTGCTTAGGCTGGTTTTGAACTCCTGACCTCGAGCAATCTGCCCGCCTTGGCCTCCCAGAGTGCTAGGATTACAAGTGTGAGCCACCATACAGGGCCCACAGTTCTTGATAGTTCCCCACATCTGACCTTCTGAGATCTCCTCCCATCTTGTTTAGTGGCAAATCCATCCATGTTGATGCTCAAGCTAGAAAACCTTTAAGTAATTTTTTTACATCTCTCTTTCTCTCACACCTCACAACCAATCCACTAGCAAATCCTGTCCATTCTATCTTCAAAACACATCTAGAACCTGACCACTTCTCACAACTTACACTGCTACCATCATTATCCATTTACTATCATCTCTGCCGTGTTATTATATAATACAAACACCCAACTGGTGTCCTTGCTTCTGCCCTTTGTGCCATAGAGTCTTTTCCCAGATAGTAGGTAGAACTATCCTTTAAAAACATAATTCCAAGCAAGTCATTTATCTATTTATAAGCCTCCATAGTTTATCTGTCGC